GGGATGACAAGCCCTGAATAAAGAGCATGCAGGAGCCGTCCGTAGATGGGGTAAACCAAACATGTTACTCCCCCTTCAAGGGGTACCGGAAGATTGCATCTTCCTGGAAAGCCGTATGGCCATTGTGATTCTTTTGGACGGAACCCGTACCGTACTTGGATCCTTTTTCCCGTACGTTTACTTTGTTCTGGCCGCTGGCCGCACACAGCCCGCATTTGTTCAACACATGGTTGTCAAAACGCCGAGAAGGAACGTATGGCCGTTTTCTTGTGGCCCAGGCCATCTCTACTTCTATTGGGTTGGATCTTTAGACTTTATCTTTTTGGATTCCCCTCATATTTCCCTTTGACCAGCACAAAGTTATGCTTTTTGCTGGAGAATCTACAGCACCCAAGCCATATGGACAGACAAAAACCGGTGGGTCTCCAAGTTACCCCTCCCGCCCAGGATCGAGGCTGTGGGGCGGCAGCAGTCCGAGGTGAGTGCGGAGGCGGTGCAGCGCCAAAATGGCCTCGCGCTGCAGAAGCAGCGGGACGTGCGGGCCCCAAGCGAAAACACCGTGACGCGGTAGCTGAACAGGTTCGGATCGGTGGTTCAGTGTGTTTTCGCCAGTCTTGGGACACCAGGTGCGGATTTGTTGCCCTCACGCGGGGCGTTGGAATGCGGTCGGTTTGCACGCCTTGGAGAATCCACAATGCACAAGAGAGATCCAAGATCTTGGTGCATGTGACCTTGCAAATGCGGCACTGGAGAGGGCAGGGGAGGTCTGAAGTGGAGTTGTTGCTTTGACGCCGTTTTTCAGTGCAAAAGCCGCAATTCTTTGCCTCAGGCCCAGGATTTACGACGTGCCAGCGAGAGGGCCGAGCAGAGACAGAAGCTCGCAGATGCGGAGAAGCGGCAGAGGCAGCCCACTTCAAAGCTGCGGTTTTTAGTGGGTTTCCAGCTTTCCATCCACTGCTGCTTGTTGAACTGGCGTGTGCTTTGTGCCAGGCGGCAGGATCAAGAGCAGCTCCGACATTGGAAGAAGACGTTCCATGACGAGGCCAATGGCCAAGCTTGTTTGGTCGGCCGTCAGCTTTTTGCGTGGCAGGGCTGCGCAGTTTCGAGTGTTGATAGAGTGAGAATAGGCAAGCGTTTTGACTTGCATCCACACAGGAACACAGACGGCAGGAGTGACCACCGCAATAGCAGTCACTTGGGCACTGTTTTTTGGAATGTGGAATGGATGGCTGGGGAAAGCGGCTCCGTGTCGCAGCTTCAGACAGAAGTTTGAGCAAATCAAAGTCGCCACCTTTTGCAGGCAATTATTGTTGCACATCATTGTTAGGCATTGCATTTCTTAGTCACTCGCGCAATGGGAGCAATATCCTTGGACATTGCTGCGTATGGGCCAAGCTGGGGGATGCAAGTCAATAACCATGGACAGAAACGCTGGGATGTTTGTCTCCTCGGGGAGGGGCTGCCTCTCTGATAGCATGTCCAAAACATGCAATGGCACACACGATCCACACAGAAGGCCAGCCTTCAAGAATGGCTGGGCCTGTCAATTTCTCTTGGCAATGCTAGAAACGTGTTGTGGAGACAGTCCAGGCAAACAAGTGACCAATAGCCGGCTGCAGAGCTCAGGTGGATAGCTAAGTCACATGTGCAGCTTAGCAGAGGCTCGCAAGGAGTCCGAGATGATGGCAACGCCGCTAACTTGACAGACTTGCTCAGCATGCCAAACATGACTATACAAGGAGACGAATAAGACAACAAGATCTCAACCGTTGTATTTGTGACCCGCTATTACGTAGCCCAAGTTGCTTGCAAACGGCGATGGAAGCCAAGCCTCTCGAACTTGAACAGAGGCCCCCAAACACCAGCAGTGCGTTAATGTGTGTCATCCAATGCTTGCAAAGCCACCACGGAGCGAAACATGTTTGCTCAGAAGGAGATGCTTTTGCACATAGGCTGAAATAATTGCAAGGTTGGCCCAGTGATACACCTTTTGCGACAGCGATCATTGAATGGCGAAGCCAGAAGCTAGCATGGCAGGAATGAGCGGGGTTGGGTGGAGTAAGTTGGTGAGAAATAAGATACGCAAGCACTAATCGGCGCAAGATGGTTGAGCTGTCGTGGTCACGATTGCAATTCCTCAAACACCCTGACTGAAAGCTGCGGCTTCCGTGCTTGCTTGTGCTCTAGGCGCGGTCGGATCACACACACCGTGTCGCTCATGTTTTTTTGGCAGCTGATTTGCAAGCAATTTGCAAGTGCTCTCTGTTGTTTCCCCTCTCTCTCTCTCACTCTTGTTTTGGCGCATTGTCGGGCCATCTCGTTGGAATTCTAAAACTCCTCTCCCCGGTCGCCACTAGCACAAACAGCTCTTCATAGTTGTTAGGTAACCGCATCATCCCTGTGCCTTTTCGTTTCTTTCTGCAGCACTCAACCTACAGCGACACGGCGCAGGAGAGAGCTTCCTTTTGGCACAGCAAAAGCAAGAGTCTCATCCCTTTAGAAGGTGTTGCCCTTCAAAATACCATCAGGCCCTTGCGGGAACATGCTCAAAGACTGGGGCTGGTGGGACGCCAGGTGGCCAGCGAGTCTCTGTTGGCTTCGAAGAAGCACCGGCTGCAGGCATTGGGGCAGGGCAAGCATTTGAACAATGAAGTTTGTATCTGAACAATCCCTGGCAGGGAATCATGCCACAGGTGCGCTTAGAGGCATCCGTGCCTGTTGGCATGATTGTGATGGGGTGACTAGGGTAAGGCCCAATTGGGAAATGAGAAGGAAACGGCATCCAGCTGAGAGCTCATGGTGGATGAATTTCAGTGGAGCGGCCCTGCTTGCTACAAGTAGAAAGGCGCTGGCTTCCCCGGGCGGTTGTTGATCAGCAAGTCACTTTGTCGCAGTGGGTGGCTCTGCAATTGCAGGAAGAGATTGGCTGGAGGCTCAGCATCACCGACCTGGTTGCCCACATCAACTGGTGCTTTAGATATTTAAATATTGCTGGAAATGTTCAGGGGATAAGTCAAGTGGAGTGATTTAGAAATGCTCGCACATCCTCATGTGCGCTTGACAAGACACTGCACAATGCAACTGGTTTCAATCATGACTAATTGCGGTGTTCCTCATCTAGCGCACGTCTAGGTGAGCTTCGAGCAGACAACGCAGCCGAAGAAAGCCAACTCAAGGCGGGAGGCTGTTCATGTCCCAGCAGGCAGTTTCAAAAAGAAATGGATGGCCAAGAAGCACCCGGCAATGACGCTGAGTCCCCCACGCTGGGTCCGGCAACCTAAGACAGGCATGCTTAACCTGATCGTCATTAAAGGCGATGCATGCCAGGTCAAGAAGTAACGCCCACCTCATATTTAGAAACCCTCCCCCCACGACCCAAGGTTGTTGGGGAGCGCGCCTGCAGTTTGTAATTTCCGGCGGATCCAGGAGATTCCTTGCATGGCTGTCGGTCAGCGTGTTCCATCAATACTTCTTTGGAACTTCTTTGCTGCGTGAATCGCAGGGCCGAGCCAGATAGTGCAATCATATTGATGTTATTTGATGTTTCTAAATACCTTTCGGGATTTCCATTTCGCAACGCTGGGTTTCTCTTTATGAGGTCCGCGTTATTGGCAGGCGCTTGCGGAAAAAGCCCTGCTCAGGACTTGGCCAAGGCAGTGCGGCAAAAGGCCCAGCTTTTCCGGGGGAGGCGTTGCGCTCGTGAGCTGTGGCACGTGTTTAACCCGCATGTGATCTGTCGAGTCAGGGATTCCAGATATCATTCATGTTCAGATTCTGCCATTTCTTTGCCCCAGTGGAGCAAGACGCTGAGAGGGAGAACGTTGTGTTTTTCCCAAGCGTTAAAATCACCTGTTCGGTGACGTAGTCACCAGTAGCGACAGGGTTCTGACTTCTGCTTAGTAAAGTTGGTGAATTCGTTGAACGTTTCTCTCGAGAGTGCCCGCATTGTACTGCCAACCAAGCGAAACAAGACGGAGGGGAGTTTGCAGAGACAGAGTTGGGATATTCAAGTTGTTTTTGTTGGAGATTCTATGTCAAATTACTCTGGGTCAAAGTGCGAGAAAGCTGCTTGTTGGTCTTACAATGACAGGAGGACTCAAGGCTTGGCGTGGACAAAGCATTCCAACTCTGCCGAGCCTCAACACCATGACCCCACTTCGCAGGGCAGCTTGTCGGCGAAAATGCGGAAGTTCCTCGACAAGGAGTTCAATCGATTTTGCTTAGGGACCCGTGGCTGCTTTCTCAAACCATTTCGAACCTCATGCGAGTGGACCTTTCCCATCACCTGTGTTAGTTGGGTATGCTACGGGCTAGGCATCTTCTTAACAGACCTCAATCGAGCCACTCATGAACTTCCTGCCCAGTGAGAGTTTTAGGTTTCTTTGGTGGACCAACTCATCAGACGTCCTGCGAAGTGTGAGTTTCATGTTCATGGATGTCCATAGTCAACATAGATACGGTTTGGTTTCGACCACGCTCATTTTGAGGCTGGATTTGAGTTGGCCTCTCGCAATGTCGCAGTGCCAATTCACTGGCAGGAGCCCGAGTTGGCCCACGCAGTGAAAGAGCGGCTCAACATCGGCTGAGTGAGAGCAGCACCTGCCGCGCCTGCTTAGTGGCTCCTAGTGAACCATTGTGCCTCATGCAAAACGGGATTCGTTGGCTGAACTGCGGTCACAAGGGTGGGTACAAAAAAGTCAGCCGTAGGTGGCAGGCACTCAGCTGCGATGGCGCGTTCTTGTCGCACGCGTGTTGTTTCTTTCTCTGGGGGGGTGGGGGATGGTGGGGGCTCCTTGCACCACCGGTTGGTTAGTTGGGTGGCCACATCGCCAGCCTGACTTGGACCTAGAGCTGCCCAGTGGCTCTGATGTGGTGACAGTTGAGATTGGCTCGGGGTCGGTTTAGGGTGAGTTTTAGGAAATGAGGGTGGGCAAAGGGGTAATATTCGGCTGCTCTTGGGTATGTTTAGGGCTGACTTTGCGTGCGTTTGGCTGATTCGTGCTAGGTGTGCAACTGGTTCGCAGGGGCTTTAGGGTTGCTTCAGGGTGTGGTGAAGTGACTTTTGGGCTGGTTTGGGATTTGTTGCGCAGCTCCCCTTGACAAAGTCAGACCGAGCTTTAAAAAATGCAAGACTTAAGACTTTTAGTGCAGCCGAGCTGTTTCGATGCACACGGCGGGTTTTGTGTTGAACCACGGCTCGTAAAACAACTGGGCTAGTGGAGAAACTTCAACCATTGCACTACTGCTGCATGTGTTGTTTGATCACGAGCACGCGGAATTTGGTTTGGGGAACTTCATATTTCCAGGATGATACCGGGTGGGGGAGAGGGGGGGGGGAGGTTAAGCGACAACGCCCAGCGGGGCCACATGTCAAATCACCAGCCGAGTCAGCACTCTGTGAGCTGGTGCATATTTTGCCCATTACCAGCAATGCTTTGTGACAGAACATGCTTACATCGTGCAATTGAGCCTGAGTGCTGAGCTGGCGAAGATTTGCCCATTGCCAAAAATGATTGTGATAGAACATGCTTAAATCGTGCATAGTGCTGAGATATCTTGGAGCAACCAAACCCAGCTGAACTCGCCCCCGTTTGCTGCTCATCAATCAGGCCATGGGCCATTGTGCAGTCTGAGTGCCTTCCTGGGCGGCTGGCCGACCCAACTTTGTGCTTGTGAAAACCCTCGCGACGACCTGAACAGGACCGTTCCGAATGCCGCTCATGTGTGCATGTGTAGGCCTCTGAATGTGCGACACTTCGTTTGCTTTGCCTTCGAGCGTGCTGCTTTGAGTGCCTGAATGCCTTTGTGGGACACGCAGCTGCATGCGCACATCGACGTACAGTCTGGCAAAACAATCAGCCACGCCATTAATGGCTTAACCTCGGCTACCCGGTGTGCCCCTGCCCCGCGGGGTATGCGTTTGGAAAGTAATTGCCATGATCGAACGCGTGCTGTGCGGGGCCCCTAATTTGCACAGGAGATTGTTTGACCCCTTTTGGGGGGTAGGGTCAAGTTGCATCAGCTTGGCAAAAGTGGCGTCGTTCGCGCGTGGACGGCGGGGAAAGGGTATGCCCTGAGAGAGGTCGAATCGAAGCAGCGTGGCCGGTGGGTAAACACACAGCAAGACATCAACTGCGCCAGCGCGTGGTCAATGCCATTTGCGCCCTGAACGTCTTAGGCCTCTCTTCGTGATAGGCTTTGTTCTGGCGGAGAGGCCTAGTTTTAAAACCCTAGAGCCTTTCTAAGTGAAGCTTGGTCCTTACTAAGTGGGGACTTCGGCCTCAACAAGCATGTTCCGAAAGGAAGCCTAGCGTGGCAATGTTGAGCAGCTTTGGGGCCACGGTTTTCTTGAAGGGTGTCAGTGCGTTGCTAGCGGGGCTATAGCCGGACATGTTGGGATTCAATTGCCACATTGAGAAGTTGCAAAGGCAGCAAGAAAAAGAACAATATGTTTGTTCTACTTGCGATTCCGACCATCTAGCTGCCCGGATGCTCTTCACTTTTAGGCTTGCCTTCGAGAACTCTGCAAGATAGCCAAATTAGCAACATATTGTTCATTGCCCTTGCCAATGACGAAGGACACCAGCTGGACTGTGGACAAAGCATGGACAACCGTGGAAAGGTCTCAAAAAAGAAGTGGAACGGCTACAGCCCAAAACCAAGCTTGCTTGGGCTGATCGCAGCTTTCGTGCAGAAGCGCGGCATCAGTTTCAGCGACGTTGCGCTACAGGAGGTCGTCCACCTTGAGGCAAAGCGATTCGCCCTGTAATTGAGAGCTAAAAACAAAAACGATGCCTTGCCAACCGCACATGGCAAGGGCGCATACATATAGCTTCATGCGCATATAGCCTCATGCGCATTTCGGCAGGGGATACTGAAAAATATATTTGTAGGCAGGTGGATGCAAGTGAGGCGCTGGGGGTGGGCCTCAAAAAGCCAAGCTTATTCAGCACAAATAGTGTGTTCAATGAGGCACCTTGACTGTTTGAGGGGCTGGCGTTAGAACGCCCTGTGTTGGCTGAAACCACCCAAACCGCTAGCTGCGCAGCAAAGCACGACTGCACTCCCGCAGCTGGTGTCCAAACTCAAAACTCGATGACCGGAAGGCTGGCGTGGCCGGCGGGGCGCAGAAAGCTGCCATTGTTCGCTGGGCGCCACGTAGTTGAAACTAAAGCCCCTGCTTTGCAGCCAGGCGGGAGGCGGCAGCGGCGACACACTCAGCGGAAGCGCGTGGCCCGTGCGAATGTGAATCATCATAAATAATGTCATTTCACTCTCGCTGATGTGAGTCAAAGCGACACCTTCTAGCAAGGGCTAGCGCCTGGCGGCAAAAAGTGCGTAACAGCCTTGGGCGCGCACATTCAGAGAAAAATCTGAACATGAGCAGTCTAAATACTGAATCAAATCTGCTGCAGAAAAAGCAATTGCATGAACGAGCAGTTTGCTGCTGGCAGGTCTGTAGCTCCCCTTCAAATTGCATATCCTGCTGACAAAGCTCGACTGCAGGGGCCTGCCGTCCCATCGCGCCTTTTTTGGGTTTAGTCTCGGCGTCACAGCTTGCGGACATTTCGTCGCGAAAACGCAAATTGCAGGCGACGCGCCGTTTGCGACCTGTGCCGTTTGATTTGCAAAGCAGGTGTAAAAAGTCGCTACTGTTGTGGGCCAGTATGTGTTGAAGCTTCACGAACGTGTTTCTAAGATCATTCAACCCAGAGGTAAATGAGATGTTTTAGGCGGCGCTGATCCCAGTTGGCCAATGAACACGCACGACAAATCGCACACTTCGTGTTGTATTCAGCCGGCTCAAGTGGCGGGCTTAGGCGGCGCGTCGCCCTGTGCAGTCGTTGGGTTGTCTAACTCCTGCAACAGACCGCGCAAGCTGCCTTTGCCTGTCGCTATAGCCGCTAGGCTTGGCTCTTGGTTGGTGACAGCCCAAGCGTTTCGCCATGGGCATCATGCCTTCCAAGACCCAGACCTGCTGCGGCCGCGCCCAGTCTTCCAGCGAAGCTGCCAAGACTGTGGAGGCATGGCGCGTGCTTTGTTCTGTGGCAGTTCTTGAAGCATGCTTTCTATTTGCAGGCCTTGTGTCCGCCTAGGCTATTTCGAGAATCGAGCCCCTTGCCAAGTGGCACAAGATGTATGACGGATTTTGGTACCGCAAGGACGCGGGGTTTTGCTTGGCTTTGCCTGAAATTTTAATATGGCAGAAGATGTGCCAGGCGCAGACTTGGCCCGCACCCTTGTCATTTGCGGCCCAAGAGGTTCTTGACTTCCGCGTCCCAGGTTCCGACGGACCACCAAGCTGAGACGTCTAGGGTGAATTATTCTTTTCTAGGTGTGTTTGGGTTGTATTGCGCTTACTATTCATGCTTAAATTGGCTGAATCTTTCGTGAACGTTGCCTCCTGGTGCATCCTGAGACCTGAGATGTTCGCATTTACTAAGATTGGCTTTGGTGCTGCGTGTTCAAGCCAGGAGGACGGCCGTTTTATGGGCGAGATCGCCCAAAGACAACTGCTTGTCAACCGGCGTTCCGTGCTTCCACTTGAGGAGGACTGAGCGCAAGAGAGCGACGTGTTCTCAAGTCTACTCACTGCCTCTCCGGCCCTGAAGCCCCAGATTTCATCATTCTAGAACCCCCCTTTTTTTCTTACTCTGTTGGGCGGCGTTAAAAACGCAAACTTGATGCAAAAGCAAGCTGGCCCCCCGAAAACTATATGCAAAAACAAAAGATAAACAAAGGTTAGATAAAATAAGAATAAACAAAATAGCACAAACACGAACATCAAATCAACATCGCAACAGCCCAGCCTTGCTTTTCCTAGTGCAAGATGCAGACTTGTCGCAAGTGACGCACTTTCAGCTGTCGTCGCAAATGACAGAAAGCAACGTCGTCGCAAGTAACTGGTGAAGGTGAGGTACTGGCAAGCCTCTCGTGTTTGCGGGATGTAAGAGTCGCGCACATTGTGTTGCCCGGTAAAACGATAAGGTGCGAAAAACGATAAGGTTTTTGGGTGTCACGTATTGCTAGCATTTGCTCAATCTTGTTTGCTCCCTTTCCGTCCTTCCTGTTCACAACCATGGCTTGGAGCATTGAGATCCGGGAGAGGCTTCCGAGTCACAACGCTGAAAACGATTACAAAATGATAACAAAAACGATAACGCTTGTTGACAGAACCCATGCCCGTGAGGAGTTGCCCATTGAGAGGAGCTTAGCAACTCTACCCTAGCTTTCCCTTTGATGTCTCCCGGCCATGGACAGCATACTTGCCTTTTACGTTGGAACATGTCTTGGACCCTACGTTGGAACACATTATTGCAGTTGATGAGCGCAGGCTAGCCAAACAAATTGAAGCAAGCAAGCGCAAACGAAAAGCATGGAAGGAGCTTTCTGCTCGTGAGTCCGACGAAGAAAGCCTTTGAAGCCACCTTGAGAGCTGATACGCGCAGTTGTCCAAAATGCGCGAACCCCGGTAAAACGATAAAGTGCAAAGAAAATTCAAAGGTTAATGATGTTGAACATACATCTATTGTGTAAAACGATAAACTTGGACGCAAAACCGACAAGAAAACACATGTGCAGCCCATTTCAATTGAGGTTTTGCCGCGGCCTCAGGTGGAACCCGGCTTGCTGCTGCTCTGCGATGGCGACGATTGCATTGCTGGCCGGGTCTCTTTGGACGCACAGGCCATGATAACGTGGGGCAGCAGAGAAGTTTGGTTGCGAAAGTAAGCGCAAGGCATGTGTAGTTTTAGGCAACATTGCAGCGTCATCACAAATAGTTAGTTGATGACCCGAATGCACTGATGCGGGCTGTTGAACAGCCCAAATCGGAATTTCTGCATGCAAAGCAGCTGCATGATATTTTCATTTTGCTCCTTGCCGCTTTCCGCACATTGCATCGAGCTATCCAAACCTGAATCTCGACTGCATGGGCCTGCCCGTCCCCTTTGAAAGCGTGTGCTCACTGCAGGGCTTTACAGCAACCGCAAGTTTTGCTATTTAAACAAAACCTTGGACCCCTCTTTGGCGAGGCTGCGCGGAGCAGACTTGAGCATGTAGGCCCAAACTCGGCAAACAGAATGTCAGGCCACCCTTGCATTGTGTTCAGGTGTCCCGCCAAATGGTAGTTAGATCGTGCATTCTGAATTTGAAGCATGTCGGACATGCGAGTGTCACATCATGACACTTGAGGAGGACTGAGCGCAAGCGAGCGAAGTGGTTCATCATTTCATCTTCGTCCAGATGCGCTGACCATCCAGGCAAACAAGTCTAGACAATTGCTGGGTTGACTGCGATTGACACAACAACCAGCATGCAAACTGAGTTAGTGTTGATGTTGAATCAAGAATGTGTCTTTCCTCGGAGGCCACTGTGCTAGAAGACATCAAAAAGCGAGCTCTGCAAACCGAGCAAAGCTAGATCCGGCAAAACCGAGTCAACCGCAAGTCAGGGGCGCAGTGAGGTGTTCATAATGGCATGCTGGAGCCAATGGAGGGAAAGGAGGGATAGGTGTTCATAATGCCATGTTGGATGCAATAGAGCACAAGCAACAAGCAGTGCGCGATTCTAACACACCACAGATTTTGCACTTTTGCTCACAACGCGTTCCGCGCGGTTCCTCTCCTGAGACAATGTGTCCTGCAAGTACAGCTCAAGCGCAATGGTTGATGCATTTTGGTTGCATTTGCAGCATCCTTGGCTCCGAAACTAGCTAGAGAGACATTGTTTCCGGACTCGCGTTCCAACGCACGTGCAGCCGACTTGTGCCAGTAATGCCAGCAAAAGCAATGCGGATTTTGCTTCTTGCAAAACTGGCGAAAGAACCGCGAACCTGCCCGCACCGTGCGCCAACTTGAGACGCGCCAAGCAGCAGTCAAGAAAGCGCTAGAGAGTAATACGTTTGCATTTGGTATTGTATTGCTGCATGTTGTGTTTGATGTTATTTGAATGTATTTGATGCCTCTTGTTGAGGCAGTCGTCTTGAGAAAACCGCGCGTCGCATTCAGTTGGGCCGTGCTAATGTCATCCCTCGTGGCCACGCTTTTGCTCAGACGGACGGTTGAACCTCGTTGGAGCATCAACAGCCCACATGCGTACAGGACCTTCGACTTGATGTGAATTGACTTTGGAACATGAACAATCCTACCCAGCACCTCTCTTCGAAACAAGCCACAATATTGCGGCAGTTAACCTTGCCAGACTTGCCATGGCAGATCCGGACGTTGTTGGAAAGCCCGACGCAGACTCAGAGATCGAAAGAGAAGCTATTCCGTTGCCTCAGGTTCTTGCAGGCGAGGCATCGGATTGCCGTCACTCAGCTTTGACCTTCAGGGTTTTGTTTGAGCTACAAAACATTCGACACCTGGTCATGGTGCTTGCAGTATGTGCATGGGTTGCCATTTGTTTGCTGTATACTCCAAAAAGATAGTAGAGCTCCTTTGTAGGATGCTCCACATTCCGCACCCAAGGCAGATTTTGCTGCTGTGCGCAGCTCTCAACCACAGATTCCCGAAGCAGCACTTGCATATCGATATTTTCGTTTTTGCTTGTTCTCGTGGCCTGGAGTAGCGCTATTCTATCGGTGTATGTGTCGCGGAATTCCTTTCCACAGCCTCAGCCAGCTCGTGCCGGAGGTTTTTCTGAAGAGAGAGCCTGGCTTATTCTTGAAGCTATTCAACAAATAGGCGCCTTGGATCCCCTTGGGCCACAAAGTGATTCACTTCTAGAAGGTGTTTGAGTCAAATTTCCAATGTTAGAAGTAGAGGGATATAGAAAGAGACACCGGAACCAACAGTAAAAGTGGTCACACTCTCTAGCTGAGATACCTAAGTTTAGCCTTGCCGCTAGGCACATGTGTCCATGATCCCTGAAGGTGCTCATCCAGTGATTTTCAAGTCTGACTTGACATCATCAGGATACAGCGCCCCTCCTGCAAATGTGGCCCTTTTCAACGTCTTCAAGCAGGAAATCCAAGGCATCCAGTTGGCAGCTTCTGATCGGGTCACAGTTGAGCTCCAAGTTCCGACCACCGGCCGAATTTCAAGCGGATCCTCCTACTATGACTTCATTTCCGCTAGATTGCGTGTGAACGCGGCTTCCTCATCTTACAGCAAAGCTATGTTGCTGACTGCGCATTTTGATTCAGTGGTTCCAGATGGAGTCAGGGCTTCAGAAGATGCTCTCGGTGAGATGGGTGAAGGGCTTGCAGATGATGGGGTGGGTTGTGCCGCCGTGTTGGAGACTTTTCGTGCTCTGGCCACAGCTTCTGAGGTGCCACTGGTGGATGTAATTTTATTACTGACCAATGGAGAGGAGGCTGGATATCTTGGACTCGACTCCTTCATGGCTTCAAGCCCATGGGCCGCAGATGTGGGATTTTTTCTACAGATGGACCAGAGCGGCTCCCGTGGTCATGCATTGGCAGTATTTGGGGATGCCGGATCAGGCGTGGTGTTTTTCTGGGCCCCATGGTGCTGGCTCAAGACATTGGTTTGTCG